TTTTATTTAGGACATGACTGAGGGACATCTTTTATCCTTGGACCCTGCAAAAAGTGAATGCTGCTGCACAATATTTTGGACATATTTTAAATGTTATTACTTTTCTTCATTTGATACTGTGTGTGCTTGTTTTCATCATAGTTGATTGTGTGTTTTATTTTTTTTGTGCAGAGGATTACTTCAAAGAAAACAGTGGAAAATATATCTATTTACTTATTTTTTTCAATGAAAAGTTTCCTGAATTTTGAGTGTAGTATCTTGTACATACCCTATGAAATTTAAAAGGTTGTGTGTATTTTAGGTGTGTCCATGTTCATATAAGATAGAAAAGAAAAAAAAAAGCATAAAAAAACTTGGGTTTCTATTAGGGACTGTTTATTCTTTTTTTATATAAACTCTAGTGAAACAAAGTTCTCAATGTCTCTTGGGTATGTAAGGATATAATGGTCAAGTTCAAGTCAGCTTTGTGCAGAGTTCAGACAACCAAAGGAAGATTTGTACTTATTTATCATTGGAAGGTTTAAATATGGTTATGGGATTTTCTTTTGCTTGATTCAGAAGTTAGGGTAAGTATAGGCAGTATTAAAATGGTTGTGCACAATTCAGCCTTGTGCTGAGTTGAAGCAAACAGAGAGAAAGCTTGATTTACTTCATAGGTGGAAGTTTTTGGAAGACAGATGCAAATGCCATGCATTGGGAAGTAAAAAGAGAGTTTGGTCATCAGTGGACCAGAGAACAAGGGGGTAGAAAGTTTCTCTGTTTATGGAAATTGTTTGATGAAACAATTGTGGGGTAATCATATTACAGGTTCCTTTACTCTAAGCATCATGGGAAAATGTATTTTGTTTTCTTTTATTATGCACTAGCAGTAGAGCCCAGCATTGCTCGGGGATGTAACAGTAAGAGATAGATCAAGTATCGACCATCATAAAGACTGAAAAATAAAATTGATAAAGATTATTGTTTAAGGTTGATGGAAACACATGTCTTAATTAGTTTTTGTTTTTTTACGAATTGGTCAAACCCAAACTCAAACAAAAACATTGTTTTCAATCGTTATGAGTCTACCGATTGAATAGAATTTTATTATAAACAATTGTTTTGTAAATGGAATTTTTAAAGCATTCTGAATGTAAAATAAAAAAAAAAAGTGTGCAAGACAATAAGAAACACTACCTGCCAAAAAGAAGTGAAGTTTTGTTGAAATCTGTTGAAAAATGTAGGAAATCTGATCCCATATATAAATGAACACACACACACAAACAACCAACCTGGGTTTTATAATAAGTATAACTTGATATTAATAAGTATAACTCGATATGAGTTGTCTCCCTTTCATTAATGCCTCTTAATCCTGTTTTCAAATTGATTTCGTGCAAAAACAATTGTATTTTTCAAATTTTTCCCACCATGTTTTTGGTCCTGTGAAGTTTTGTTGAAATCAGTTGAAAAATGTAGGAAATCTGATCCCATATATAAATGAACACACAAACAACCAACCTGGGTTTTATAATAGGTATAACTTGATATTAATAAGTATAACTCAATATGAGTTGTCTCCCTTTCATTAATGCCTCTTAATCCTGTTTTCAAATTGATTTCGTGCAAAAACAATTGTATTTTTCCAATTTTTGGCACTGTCAGAACCACCGCAAGGTAATTTTAAAATTCATCGAAAAAATTTTATTTCTTCACAAAATAATGTCCTTAGTATAACGTATTTATAAAAACAGGTGAAAGCTTTTCTAACTAATTAATGTCATAGTTTTTTACAATTTTTTTTTATATAATTCAGAGCAGATTTTCTATGATATGGGTTACTGTTTTACAAAAAAAAAAAAACTGGTGATTTACTTTCTACAAAGAGTCCTGTTTATAACTAATAAAAGAAATCCCATGCTTGAAGATTTAATTTCTCGAAATTTCATGAAAATATGTAAGTGGGTGGAAACATGTTAAAAAAAAACTCTTTTTAACAAGATTTTCTAAAAAAAAAAAAAAAATTTCAAAAATAATTTAATTCATTTGTGAATAAGTCCTGAAAGTTTCATTAAAATCCAACAATTATTTGATTTTTGCAAGAATTTTTAAACTTAGGTATCGAAAATTTATGCCAAAAGTGGAGGTCCCTAAATCCACTTCATGTAAGCTGAAAACGTTAGTCAGAGAAGGCAAAATGAGTCCCTCTTCTGGAGGTTAGCATCAGCCATACTGATGGAAGGCAAAACAGGTTCTCTCAGATGATTAAAACAGAAGTTTCCTTTTCTAAGCATTAAAATTAATAGGCCACTCCTTGCCCTATTGAACAACAGATTGTAGGTCAATTTTGAGATCATCTGCCAATTTGACTTTATTTTTCCATGGCGTAATTGGTAAGGCACACTTCACTTCTCGCTTGTTAATTCTTTTATTGTCCTCTCTCCTTAATAGTAATTTTTTCCTCAGATTTTCTAACCTCTTGTCTCCTAGTGGCTTTATTGTCTTTCTTGGGGTGAAATGATTAAAAAAATAATAATAATAATAAAAAACATCAGGATAAAGCAAGTTTCAATTATCTATTTAATGAATGTACATCTTTATTTGAAACCTTTTGAAGTCTATATTTACTTACTTAATTTTTGTCCCCAAAATGTAAACAAATTGAAATTTTTTTTTATTTCTTCTTATTATTATTTTACTAGTGTGGAGTAACTGGCCATGTTTAAGTGTAATTGGCAAAAATGATCAACAAAACAGAATTCACAAAGTTTCTAATAAACATAATAACAAAAGAAAGAAAAAGAATGTTGTAAATTAATACTAAGCAAGCAATATATTCATCTGTTTATTGGATACGGTTGCCATATCTGGTCTGGTGCTCCTGCTGTACATCTCGAAATTCTTGACAAAATCCAAAGATGGGTCTGTAATATAATCAATCCTATCCAGGAATCTCAGCTTCAGTCACTTTCTCACTGACATGATGTGGCTTCCCTCTGCCTTTTTTACAAATATTTTCCTGGCAACTGTTCAGTTTTTTTTTACCTAGTACCCTAAATACTTGAATTTAAGCATGCTACTAGATTGGCAACTAGGTCCCATACTTTTACTGTTGAAATAACTAAATGCAACAGTCATTTCGACTCTAATGGTTTCTTTTCTCACACTTCCCACCTGTGGAACTCTGTTGCATTTCATTGCTTCCCTGATAATGACAATCTTCAAAAATTTAAATGCAATGTCAATCGCTGACTTCTTGAACCCTATTCATCTTTTGTCCTCTCCTTAATTCTCGTGCAGTCTTCTCTTTCACTCCCCATAACCCACTGTGTACTAGTGGCATTATCACCATGCCTGGGGTGAAATGATTAAAAAAAATATATACAAGACACAATTAGCTGAAGCAACAGTAATAAGGCAAAAAGTTCATAAAGTAAGAATGATGTTCACATGTAAAAGGGATACAGTCGGGTGACATGCTAATACTCTTGGGAAAGGTATGAATCCTCATCTTCTCCCGCCCCAGCTATAGGTAAGTAGCAGGACAGACCAGGTTCTATAGCCTTTGATGGCAACTGGTCTACCACAGAAAGAAATGGCAATCTACTGCAGGAAAAAAAATCTGCCTCATCAGTCATGTATCGAAAGATACATGATCGCCTGAGGGTGTATCACACATGGCACATAACTGACCGATTGTAGTATTCTGACTTCAAGACAAGAATAATCCTGAGTATAACGATAAACTAAATCCGGCAGCAAGGCCTATGATCGGGAGACTGGAAATTCTGAGGAACATGAAACCATCTCTTAATTGCTGTTGTTCCCAGTGTGGTAGCATCTGTTAGGGTCCCCAGTTATGGGTAATAGTGAACTCCGCAAACAAAACCCTATACTGTGTATGTGAGTGTTTTAATAAAGAAAATATTCTTTCTGGAAGGCTTTAAACTTGTAAAGAAAAAACACTGTTATGCCCAGTATGCTTTAGATTACTCAGTCAGGAAAAGGTTTCACAGTTATAAGAAGGGAAATAAGAACAACAAATATCCAAGAATCAAATAAAGGATTCTGCTTCAGGTTATCATACGTGAAAAACACCTGAAGTACATTAGCAGATGAAAGGTGAAAAGGAAAATGCAGAAAATTTCGATAATTCAAGTAAGATAAAAGTATTATTATTATTTATATACCAGGACACTCTCTCAAGTCATGTAGTCCCCAGTTGAACTTCTCCACCCATATTTGTTTAAGCTTTTTACCCGAAGAAGTTTTTGGCAAAGCTGGTTGAAGCCCCTTCAAGAGTGAAGTGGGTGAGTTACAAGAAAAGGAGGCAAGCAACTGAGGAATATTAGCAGATGAATAATGAAAGCATTTTGTCTTAAAAATTCAGACAAAACAAAGGAATTATTTCTACAACAGGACAACCTCTGGTGTCACATAGGCCCCCAGTTGATCTTCCCCAGCCATGTTTAAAGTATTTCAACTTAGGAAGACTTTGGTGAAGCTAGCTCAAACACCCTCAGTTTTTGATCTTAGGAAGTGCTTTGGTGTAGGTGGTTCAAACACATTCAGGAGTAAAGGGGCAAGTTACAAGAAAAGAGAGAATTGGTTTTCAGAACAGAAAAAAAATGACTCTTGCTTACAAATAGAGTAATGCAGAATTTATTTATTGATTGATGATTATATTTATCTCATTAGCCATTCCCAATTCTGCAGTGCTAGGGTCAACCTAAGTACAGTTTGTAACTTAGTAGGTGTCAGTCTTATTTACAGCATATTGCAACAATAATAGCAAAGCCCCAGTCTAGTTACTGGTAGTCAGTTCAACAATGCAATTAAGGAACTTTGGTCTCAGGCCTGCAGAAAAAGTTGATCTCTTGCTCTTTCACTTATTCTTAGTATCTTTTGAGGGGTGGGAGAGTAGGTACTGAAAAGGAGCAGCAATGTCAATTCATTTGCTTCATTTTGTCACCCACTTGCATCACCCATCTACTTTGGCTGCAGCTTACAGACACTTCATGTTGAAACACTGGTTCCCATATGATCACCAAAGTTAAGCAATGTTGAGTCTGGTCTGTACCTAGATGGGTGACTACTTGGGAATACCAAGTACTGTAGGCTTGGATGTGCAGGTGGTGTAATGGATAATGACTTGGAATTGTTAATCAAAGAGCTAAATTTCAATTCCCATTGGGTTTGTTATATTCAGTTATGCACAAATATCCTTGGGAAAGGTGTGAATTCCACCTCTTTTCCCTCCAGCTATGGGTTTATCAGTAAGACTTATCACTAAGCCATTATTCTTTCAAAAGAAAAATTTTTACAATTTAAAAATATTTTCTGGCTTTAAATAACATGCAAAAGCCATAGAAAATGAATCAATCTTCTGGCTGCATGCTACTCAACTTTAGTTGATGAGACTTGTATACATACGGAATATTTTCCTTTCAAGTATCAGGTTACAATTTGATTTGAATATTTGTACTGTATCAAGGAAGGATCTTGATCTCATTTTCCTGTTACTAATGGCCAGATTTAACCTAATAAAAAACAAAAAAAAACAAAAAGAGTGAATGTGATTAAAAAATAATACATACCAATTTTGGCCAAGATCTGATCTTGCTCAGAGCCAGATGGTTTATCTCAATTGTCCTTTTTTTTTTCCAGCAGTGAGTCAGGTAAGTGGTTCTTGTTTCACTCAATTGTACTAGTTAAAACCCTGTTAATTCTAGAGTTCAAACCTAAGTAATTCCGAGTTCTAATTAATTTTATTGTAATTACCATATATACTTGAGTATAGTGGGGTTTTATTATCAGTTTTTTTGCACAAAAAATAAGGAGCCACACTATATGCAGGTAATTTTTTTTTTTGAAGAGGTTAAAAATCAAGTATTTTTGGTGACTGGTTGTACTATACACAGGTAAATTTTTTTTTGATAGGGATAAAATTCATGCAAAAAATTCAGGGGTCACATGAAGTTGTCTTATACACAAGTATATACAGTAAATGCTTTTCATTTCTTCAAAAAAAAAAAAAAAAAAAAACACAAAAAAAAGTCAGACCCTAGGTATTTGTGGTATGCTAGTAAAATCCTTATTATCTAGCCTGGCTTTTCTCATCAATAATAATAATTTCCATTCTTTGCACCAGGTATAAATTCATTCACTGTTAAAATATACTCCAGTAACTCTATTTTTATAGTTTGAAACAAATTTAAATATGAAATGATGCGAAAATCAAAATTAAAGTTTGGCAAACATGGACTTATGTGCCTGTAATAAGATGTAGTCTCAAAAGAATGGTTTCTTCCAGGATACCACTTTTTTTTTTAAACTAACTTCACTCTTTGGCAATGTTTAGTTTTAAAAAGCAATGAATAGAATTGAAATAAAACCTAAACATAGAAAAATAATTATTTAACAAAAAACACTATATATTTGAATGTTTACTTACACTATTTATTATATTATTGGAATGATTGGTAAACACTGGCTAAATGCCAATCAATTCAAACCTTATAAAATAGTAAACTAAGGATTTCTTAATAGTTGGTTCACATATTTTAATAAACATTTATAAATTTATGAATAAAAAAAATTTCTGTATTTATTTCTTTGTAAATTAGAAAATGATAAATACTGCATTGCATTAGTTTTAAAATGTAAATATAAAATCATTCTTGTAAATAAACAATATAATAGAGCTGAGTTTGAATTCCAGTTTAATCCATTACATTCACTTATGCACTAATACCCTTGGGAAAGGTATGAATCCTCTTCTTCTCTCTTTCAGCTATGGGTAAATAGAAGGACAGACCGGGTTCTATAGCCTTGGATGGCAACTGGTCTACTGCAGAAAGAAATGGCAACCTACTGCAGGAAAAAAAATCCATCTCATCAGTCATGTATTGAAAGATACATGATCGCTTAAGCATTTATCACACATGGCACATAACTGAATAGGGTTTAATATTTGTTGTCAATTCTCAAGAACAAAAAAGATGTATAAATTCACTTTCAACATATGTTTCGGTTTTATTCCAATTCTAATCAACACTTTTTAAAAACAATAAACCTTGACAAAGACTGAAGGTAGTTACAAAGCGGAATCATGGGAAAAAACATTTTTTGGACCATTTATCACACATGGCACATAACTGAATAGTGTTTAATATTTGTTGTCAATTCTCAAGAACAAAAAAAATGTATAAATTCACTATCAACATATGTTTCAGTTTTATTCCAATTCTAATCAGCACTTTTTAAAAACAATAAACCTTGACAAAGACTGAAGGTAGTTACAAAGCGGAATCATGGGAAAAACCATTTTTTGGACCATCTGTCTTATTGTGGGCATGTAAGTACATGTTTGGTCAAGTTTTCTTTCAGATGTTACAGAGAAACCCGGATATAAGAGAGATTTTCTCTGGTTCCAAATTAGAGCCCATACTTACCTAAACAAAATGGACCAAACCCGGATATGAGACTTCTTCTCTGGTCCCGACAACTCTCTTATATCCGGGTTACACTGTATATAAAAATGTGAATCACCATGACATGCAGATCCATTTATTCTTGCACAAAATGTTTTACCGAAGCATCAATCAACAAATGAAATGCAAAAGATGAGCTTAGAGAAAATAAAAAGGTACACACATTTGAAACTAATTTTGTTAGACACACATAAAGCAACACAAAATCAAAAAAATGGTCTTTCTGCTGATATGTATCTTGATGATTTAGAAATGTTAAATGATGTAACTGAGACGACAGTTTATTATTCATAATCAAGCTCCTTTTGTGAACAGCCAACATATTTGGTATGCATAATCAGTAGACCAATGAGAAGGTTTTGTCATAACAAATACTGTTCCTTATGTAGAAAGGTGGACATTGACATATTTCCTGGATATGAATTAAGCTATTTATGGCTGCTCTTGTGAGTGTTTTGCATATGCACCACTAAAGTGGACTTTTGTGTAAAAGAAGCACTACATTCTTCACAAGAATATGTTTTCTGTTCACTATGTGTACACATATGCTTCTTAAAAGAAGACTTGTTTGAAAATGCACATCCACACTGTTCACACGTATACGGCTTCTCTCCTGTATGTTTTCGCATATGAACTACTAAAACTGACTTCCGCGAAAATGAAGATTCACATACTTCACAAAAATATGGTTTCTCTCCAGTGTGTGTTCGAATGTGTCGCACCAAAGTTGTCTCCTGTGAAAAAGAAGAGCCACAAACTTCACAAGAATATGGTTTATTTCCCGTGTGCCTTCGCATATGATTTACTAAATCTGACTTTCTTGAAAAGGAAGCTCCACACACATCACAGGAATAGGGTTTCACTCCAGTGTGGGTGCACATGTGCTGCACCAGATGTGATTTCTGTGAAAAAGAAGAACCACACAATTCACAAGAATATGGTCTCTCACCTGTGTGTGTTCGCATATGTTTTACCAACGATGACTTTTCTGAAAAGGAAAATCCACAGTTCTCACATGAATAAGGCCTCTCTCCAGTGTGTGTACGAATGTGCCGCATCAAATTAGACTTCTGTGCAAATGATGATCCACATACCTCACAAGAATATGGTTTCTCTCTAGTGTGTGTTCGAATATGTCGCACCAAACTTGGATTCTGTGAAAAAGAAGAGCCACACACATCACAAGAATATGGTTTCTTTCCAGTGTGCAGTTGCATATGATTCACTAACAATGACTTTCTTGAAAAGGAAGATCCACTCACATCACAAGAATATGGTTTCTCTCCCATGTGTGTTTGTATGCCAGAGCTCAGACCCGATTTCCCTGAAAAAGTGGATCCACACTCTTCAAAAGTATATGGCTTTTCTTCTGTGTCATTTGGCAAATGCTTTTCAAATGCTGAACTAGCTGAAAATGTTGATCCTCTAATTTCTAGAGAAGATTTTTTGCCAGTAATCTTTTCCATGTTTCCAAATGTTAAATCATATATAGAATTTTCAAGAATTTATGGTTAATAGCCTGGAGCATTATTTTCACAGGATTCACTGGCAATACTTTTATTGTTGGAACATCTGTGAAGGAAACAAAAGTACTTTAAAATATAAGAATTCAGTACCAGAATTGAATGGTATTCATTTAATTTTCATATACCAGATTTTTTCTATGCAAATACTTGTATTTAGTAGATATGCAATATTTATCTACAAAAATAATTTAATTTTCCAATAACATTGTTCATATGACTGAAATCAATTATGCTGTTCACTTGGTGTTAATTTATTAAGTATGGAAACCCGAAAGCTCCAAACTGCCCTATTTTTAGTCATGTCATTAAATGATGGCTTTATTGATGAGCAGTATGATAAATTGTCTATTAGCTTTCATCTTGAAATTTCTTACTAGATGACAATTTAAAAAAAATTATGATACTATGGACACCCCCACAGAAGGGAAAGAAGTGGTTTTATCATGATCACAACTGTTTCTTTTTGATGGGCCAACAGATGGTTCTTTTTAAAGTTTATTTACAAGAATACAGTTATAATGTGATACTATAGACACCCACATAAAAAGAGAAGAGGTGGTTTTATCTCAATCACAAGTCTTTCTGTTTGACAGACCAGCACATGGTTACTTTTGAAGTCTGACTATTTAAAAGAATAAAAGGAATAAAATGTGACACTATGGACACCCATCTAGAAAAGGAAGAGGTGATTTTATTTTGATCTCAAAATGTTTCTGTTTGATGAACCAGCAGATGATGCCTTTTGAAGTTTGGTCTTCTAAGTGACAACCACATTAACGAAAGTGTAATGGAAGTAAAGGGATGAATTAAGAATTTTTGCCGATCAAGTAGCAACAAAACCAGAAATAAGTTATATCTGGATGCTGGTCTATATTAACAGTCATGC